GAACGATAAAATAATGTATAAAATTTCTACATCAAGCAGAACAGTACCTGGCTGTCAGGTGTTAGGAAAAGGTTCTGTCAGTGACAACTTAATAAGTTTAAGATATTTCAAAAGTGCTTCTTCAAGTGCTTTCAAGTGCCTTAGAAACAAGTTACAGTTCAGGGAGAGTCAGTCCCTCCTTTCTTCTTAATCCTTAGTTATTAACAGTTAAACTCAAGGACTAAACAAGCCATTAGCTTTAAGATAGTGCTTTCAGATTTTAGGGGTTTTTAAATCCCAGTATTCACTGATCTTTGATGTTCAGTCACTTCTTTTCATGCTTGATTTCTTAAGAAGTTGGCCACTGAAGCTCCCAGACCAGCTGTGCTCTCCCACATGGTAAAGGCCAGACCAGAAGGCACAGGGTGGTCCTCACCCTTCATCCTCTTGCTATCAAAGTCAAACTTCCTGGTCTAAAATTTCCTGTCTCCTTCCTCATCCTGTACGAAAGGACTGGGATATATATTTGCTTCCTCCAGTCTCCTGGGTACTTCAACTCTCTTCAAAGAACAGTTGCAGGGAACAGATGCTACATTGTGGACTTTATACAGGAAGCACCTACTGTCTTTGTTCCGCCTCTTTGGTGATTTCTTCCTCAACGGGCTATGGGAAGGGCGATGTATGGTTCAACATGTTCTTCTCCTTTCTTAGTAAATGTGCACTAAAATTAATGTGGTCTCCTCAGTCCAGCTGTGACCTTCCTATCCATTTAGATGGGAAAACACTCTGGCCTAACCTAGGCATTAGCCATTAATATAGGCGATCAGTGTTGTGGGCCTGCCTTATTTGGGGGAAATTTTGAGATTTGTGAGATTATATCAGGTAAGATTTTTCTTTACAACATGCTCTAAGTGCTTCTGTTAGACCAAATATTTAATCTAGTCATGCCCAGCCTTTGTTTAGAGCCCATTAGTAGTTCCCATTGTATTTAACAATATGAGCTTTGTGCCAGTGGCCCCCACACCCTGCACAATCTGGTTTTTCCCCCTAGAAGCTTTGAGGAAATACTGAAATACAATAACCTGCACATATTTAAAACATAAAACTTGCATTAAGGAGCAAAACATGCTACCACTCTCTAAAGTTTTGTTATGCCCTTTCAAATGCATGTCTCTGTTTGCCCTCATGCCCAAGCAACCTCTGATTTGCTTTCTGTCGATACACATTAGAGTCTGCAATTTCCAGAATTTTATGTATGTACATTTTTCCTGCCTTGTTTGACAGGGCATGATGGTTTTGAAATTCATCCATGTTGTTCATGGATGAATAGCTTGTTCCTCTTTACTGCTTCTCATTAAATTATCATTTATATATATTTCATTGTATGGATATACTATTATTTGTTTATCCATTCATCTGTTGATACACATTTGAATAGTTTCCCATTTGGAGCTATTACAAAACTTAATTAAAATATATATTTTTAAGGAAAACAAGAAGAAAGTAAATTATTTTTATTTTATTTTTTTTTATCTTCACCCGAGGACACTTTTTCATTTTTTGTTCAGATGGAGTGGGAGGGAGAGAGAGGAAGAGAGAGAGAGAGAGAAACATCGACGTGAAAGGGACAACACATCAAGTGGCTACCACCCGCACAACCCAACCAGGGCCGGGGACAAACTGCAACTGAGGTATATGCCCTTAGAGGGAACTGAACCCAGGTCTCTCTGGACCGCAGGCCAGTGCTCTAACCACTGCGCGAAACTGGCCAGGGCAGAAAGTAAATTATTACTGCAAATGTAAAATAAGTATTATTTGCCATAAACAGGAGCTCCCCATACAAATGAACACAAAATAAAGGAGTTATACAACTTAAAATCATTGCAGGTATCAAAAGTGGGGTATAAACCATGTTGGGGAACCCTGTCCCTACAGGAATTAGATGAGCCTCTTTTGTAGATCCCAGCTCTATGGAGCATATCAGGAACATGAAGAGTTATATTCTATGGCATATAGTTTAAAACAGTAAATCTGGCAGATGCTACGAGAGAATGTGGTGCTGTAAGGTTGATAGACGCTATTCAGTCATTTACTCATTAACTGTATAGTTATACACCGGCGACCCTATCCTGAGTGCTAAGCACTGAGGCTGTAATGGGGATCACGCAGATGTGGTCTCTGTGGCTCACAAGCTTATTTATTGTCTAGAGAGTAGAGACTGACAACGAGACAAGCTTCTTGATAAGCACTACGATAGGCAGCTTTCGGGTGGTCTGAGAGAACACAGCCGGGTACTTACTGTGCCCAAAGGAGTCGGCCATGTTTAAATGATGACCCAAAGGGTAATTAGGAGTCAGGCAGGGGAGTAGAATGAGAATTGGACAATAAGACAGAGGAGCAGGTTCTAGGGAAAGACAGCACTAAGTCAGAAACCAGTCAGGTAGGCCTGCAATGTCCTCAGCATGATGAGGCATGGCTAGGAGGGCTGGATCCATGCAGTGGAGGGTCCATGCCGGTCCTTCTTCATAACGCTCTCATCACATCACTGAGTTATATCTCCCTGCCCAGGTGGTAACTAAGGTGATGTAAATGCTGGTAGACTGGTGGTCTACAATGATTCTGGGAAGAAATCGTATTTGACTTATGCCTTGTATATGTTAAGTGGTTTACTTTATACAGTGAATATCAAGTTAGTCTATATAAAATAAACCTGGCCCTTACAAAGTGAACCAAGCCAATCATGACAAACTTCTGTCTTAATCAAGGCCAGTGGAGGTGGTGATGAAATAAATGAAGGTAAAGCTTAGACGGTCATCAATAGACCCAGAAAGTTTTAGGGATCAAAGCTATGATGGTGAGGAGCAGTTAATGTGAAAAGATTTGGGGACTCTGCTGTGCTCTATGCAGCATCCACCCCTTACTTTTTCCTTGCTAATAACACTCCAATTGTATTCAGGGGTTCACCTTCATCCTCACAGGCATGGACTTCAGAGGAGAGTATCCCTAGCCCTAGGCTGGAGATGGATCTGACTGGACTCAATCAATCACAGAACCCATACCACTCACCAATGACTGGTTTAGGCATGAGCCTGTGCCATGGCTCTGGCCACAGAGACATGAGGGGGAATCTGCTGGGGGACCTTCTGGCAAAGTGTTTCACCTTAGAGAGGATCCCCTAGAAGAATTGGTTTCTTCCTCCTCTGGATGCTGTTGTCATTGGATGTGACCACCTTCTGATCATGGGGCAGGGCTGGTGAGATTGCAGGCCTACCAGAGCAGGGAACACGTGGGGATGGCAGAGCACAGAGAAGAAGGGAGCTCAAACCTTTTGGACTTCCCCAAGCCTCAGAATCACTCACCTCTGGAGCTGCCCACTTTAGAAGTACTCAGTATGTGAGGCAATAAGTTTTCTCATGTCTTAAGCTATTTTGAGCTGGGGTTTCTTAGGCCAGGGACATCCTAACTAAAGATTCAATTCATTCATTCATCATTCATTCATTCATTCATTCATTCAATCATTCAACACCTTCTTGGTGGCAACTGTGGGTTGGGCACTGTAATAAGAGATAAGAGACGGAAATTTAAAAAATGAAGTTAGACATGGTTATGCACCCGGTTTTGCTTAATGAAATGTGAGCAGAAATGGCATGCATTACTTCTGGGGATAAACTTTAAGAACTAATACAGAATTTTCCTCTGTCATGATGCTGAGGAATTACATGTTGAGAAATAACCTCCATTTACCTGCCTCTGCAATGACCAGGTTGAGCAAAATCCTACCACTTCTTTCCCACACTGGTTGTGTAGTGAGATAAAAAATAAACAAACATTGTTTTGAGCCATCATGAATTTGTGGTTGTTTATCACCATGCAAAGCCTATCCTAGCTGACAAGCATTTAAAGTGCTTAGTACAGAGCCTGGCGCTCAATGTGCAAACACCTACCTGCTGCCACTGTTGCTATTACTGTTTTGCTTCTTGTGGGCACCCTCCTAGAGTACTGAATTAATAAAACCAGCACCTATCTGGAAATGGACTCAGAATGTGACAGCTTAAAGCCCAGTTATTTATAGGCTTATCAAGTAGAGAGAGTATCAGTTAACTACAAAATACATGATTGTGTTCAGAGTTCAGTCTTCTAGACCAAAGCGCCCTAAAATCCCGAATAAACAAGCTATCTTTAAACAATTACAAATACAAAGTTTTACTTTTACTGTTATAAAATTAATTGCAGCGGGATCCATTAGAAATCTGATTTCCCTACAGCAAAAAGAAAAAGAGACCCGAGAGAGAACGGATAGAATGCTGAAAAATATAATGTCATTAAGGCTATTTGCAAAATATACAGTGTTCAGCTCCGTAGAACCCTGTAGCGCTCAGTGCCGCCACCGTGTCTGGGGCATTCTGTGGCACCCCCTTTTCAGAGGAATCTTGACATTCAGAGATTATCCGAGGAAGAGGAACTGGGACGGCTGTAGTTTAGAAGCTGTGCCTTGAAGGCCCAGATAGGGTGTTCCGTCTTCAAACACTTAAAACAGAATCCTACTTCATCTGGGTGGGTCCCGACGGCCAAACAGGAGCAAAGGTGGAGGAAGTGGCAGGCACAGTGAGCTCAGCTCAACACGTGAAAGGCATTTGAGGGAGTGGCCGCCAGGCCGCGCCCCCGACCCCTGCCCTATAAACGGCGGGAGGGGAGCGAGTTGCCGCCTACGGCCGGGATGCGGCAACTCGCGCACCTCCGCGCACCAGGCTGGTGGCACTGGTCCCAGGAGCTCCGCGGCACCACAGAGCGTGCAACCCGGCAAACTGTGGGTGACCGCGCCTGCGGGGGTCTTTGCCATCCGTCAACTAGGACCTGGGAGGAAGAACCAGAAGCTCCCCACTCCCTCCTCCTTCTCCACAATTTTAGATACTCCGCAGGGACGCGTTTGGGGGTTCCCACTGACTTCCAGGAACGACGCGTACCCTTCTCTGCCCCAAGCTCGGACGGCCACCCGTGTTTGCCGCGGTGACCCTTCGCCTATGACCCTGCGGTGCCTGAAGCCCTCCGGCAATGGCGCGGAAGGGACACGGAGCCAGTGGGGGACCGCGGGGTCCGAGGAGGAGCCGTCCCCGGAGGCGGCGCGTCTGGAGAAGGCCTTGCGGGAGCTCAGTCAATCAGGTTGGTACTGGGGAAGTATGACTGTGAATGAAGCCAAAGAGAAATTAAAAGAGGCACCCGAAGGAACTTTCTTGGTTAGAGATAGTGCGCATCCAGGCTACCTACTAACAATATCTGTTAAAACATCAGCTGGACCAACTAATCTGCGAATCGAATATCAAGATGGGAAATTCAGATTGGACTGTATCGTGTGTGTCAAGTCCAAGCTGAAGCAATTTGACAGTGTGGTTCACCTGATCAACTACTATGTTCAGATATGTAAGGAAAAGCTGACAGGCACAGAAGCCCCCCGGGACGGCACGGTTCTCCTTCATCTGTCCAAACCGCTCTACACATCAGCACCACCGCTGCAGCATCTCTGCAGACGCACCATCAACAAACACACCCGGACCATCTGGGAACTGCCTTTACCAAGAAGACTGAAAGAGTACTTGGAAGAATATAAATTCCAGGTATAAGCATTTCTCTTTTTCTAAACATGCCTCCTATAGAGTGTTTCTGAATGCAGCTACGTAAAAGAGAACCCAAACTTGAGTGACCGCTGTGGATAACTACATGGGATCCTAAGAACAGCTGAATCTAAATTGTATGTGTGACAGGTAGCTAGGTCAAGTTCCCTCAAATGTGTTCCTCTGAGTAATGCGTCCCTTTCTAAGGCTAAGACCAGTTAAGTTAAAAATTAAATGTTCCAAGTAAAGGCTGAAATAACATTTTATCAGAATGACTCGCCTTTCTGTGAGGTTCCTTTGTTTTTGGTTGAAGAGCTGAGCACCAGTAGTGGAGACAGAACTCCACAGAGGCGTACTGAGGAAAGGGAAGGAAACTGAGACAGGCTGAATTTCCATTTTATACACCTGAGGATCCAAGTCTATTCTGGACGTTATATTTTGCATTCTGATGTACCTAGGGGTTTTGTTGATCAGATGTGCTTGTGAATGTTTATCTTTTATTTTATGCAATTAACCAAGTCAACTGAAAAAAAGGGACCATGAATCCTGTATTTGTCTTGTTACTATATCTGTGAACGCTTTCATGTGAATGAGTACTGAAGTAATCCAGTTTAAGGGGGGCCTTCAGAAATATTTCAAACTGGTACAAACAGGAAAGACTGCCTTTTCCTTTACGGCTAAAGACAAGAATGTCATTGTATAGGTGCAACCCAACCCTGCTAATAAAACTATGTAGATATAGACATTTTAGCCTTTGAAATAGCTGTGTTGCAACCTTTTGCCATGGATTTTTTTTTTGCAAATGACTTTAGAAATTTCCAAGTTGTCCTTGAATTGTTTAACCATGGACATCAGCAGTTGTCTCCCTCCTACCATATAGAAAACTGACTTAGTTTTCTTCCAGATATAGAGGAGTACCTGCCTGTTTTTCAAAGTGTTTCTTTACTGCTGTTACTATATGAGTAGAATGTACTTTTTTTTAAGAAACCTTATTTTTCAAAATAAGAAGGACATTTGACCTCATACTAATTATATCTGCACAACAATAAAACGGGCTGGATCTTGAAACAGTGAGCTGCCATTCAAAGCGTTTCAAAAGAGGATGAATAGCCTGTGTATATGTAGAATTTACTCAGAGAGGATGAGTAGCCTGTGTGTATGTAGAATTTACTCAGAGCTTATTGAGGATCTACTAAATATCACATGATCAGCAAGGAAGATAAGGATTAATGTGTTGTGATTCCTGATCCCTGGGTATTTATTGAAAATCTATGATGGGTAAAAAATAATTGTAAAGATCATTATTTTGTATGGTAATTGATGCTGTAGAGTTTGTGCAAACTTTTATGGAGATATTAATTCTGCTTTGAATAACCAGGGAGGTTATATTTTACTAGGTCTAGAATGATAGTTTGGAGTTTGTATTGCAGGGGCATAAAATATCAACGTGGGGAAATTCAGTGAATTTAAAAAACCCCAGATTCTTTAGAATTTACTCCATCTTATAAAGGCAAGACAAACGCAGTGGTGATTTAATGGGATAAGACACACATAAAATGTGTACATGAACTAAAGGGACCCCCTTCCATTCTTTAAAGCAAATAAACGAACAGTCTGCCTTATTTGGAGGGAGAATTTGCCACTCTCCATGTCAGTGGTCAAGCACTGCAGGTGAATTGTAAAATCGTTCAGGAGCAGAGAGAGCTTCTGCATACATTTGATGGTGGGACTTTACTGTGAGGCTTATGTCCCTCCACGTTTGCTTAGAAATGTAACTGGGATAGATGGATGGATTTTGGAAAAGGGATTGGTTTTGTTTTGTTCTTCCAAAAGGATGCGGAAGACTGAAGTAGCCATTAGGAATGAGGAGCAAGGGGATGGGTAACCACCTCTACAAGCAGAGTTACTGGGATCGCTGTAACCAGCCATCCCTATAACCACCATCTGAGAAAACAAGCAGCAAGCCACTAAAACCGGCAGTTCCTTTCCTTAACCTCAATCCAGAATCAATACAAAAGGGGTTAAGTCCTGATAATTTTGAGATCTATCCTACCTGATGAGAAGTAGTAGTGTAATAAACTGAGAAGCCACAGGAAAACAGTCCTAGGTTCAAGCCTGAAGTCTTCTGCTTCCCGCTCTATGAACCCGAGTGAGTTAGCCAACCTCTCTGAACTCTAATGGCTTCATTTGCAAAGGCAATACAAATATAGATTATATAGCTGCGGGGATTGCACGGGACATTGCACATCTATATTAGTGTGCTGACACCGTACTAGCCTTGTAGCAGGCGCTCATAAACTATAACCATCTGTATTATTTTATTCTTAGGAGAAATGCAATTAAAAAAAAGGAGTTAGGTATTAGTTTGGCCTTATTGGACTTTGGCTTTGAAAATCGATTCAACAAATTTGTGCACTTATCCTGTGCAAGGCACTGATTTAGGACTGAGGACACAGTGGGAAATAGCACAGTGAAATTCCTTCTTCCTTCATGGAGTTCAAGTCCTGAGGGTAGGCATAGACAGTAAGGAAGTAAACAAATAAACACCATTCTTTTAGATAAAGATTAGTGCTATGAAGTAATTTTAAAAAGAACACAGGCTACAGTATGTTTGTTCCATGCATGAGGACACTAGGGGAAAGGTGTCAATTCCTGAAGGATGACATGAAGCATACCGAGTGTCAGATTGACCTAGTGACTTTATATCCCATAGTCACATGCTTATAATGTCTTAATGAAGTCAGGTTCTGGACAAAGTGATTCATTCAAAGGGATTTATTTTTAGGACCCCCACACTTCTTTTGGGCTAGGGAAAGTTGGATTACTCATTCACTAAGTATTTTTTAAATATACATATATTTTCTTATTGTTGTCAGTATTACAGATGTCTCCTATCTTTTCCCCTTCTGCCCATCCCCTACCCTACCCCAGGCCTTCACCACACTTTTCTCTATGTCCATGGGCTATGCGTATATGTATATAAATTCTTTGGTTAATCTCTTCCCGTCCCTCCTCCTCTCCTGTGAGATATGTTAGTCTATTCCATGTCTCCATACCTCTGGACTTATTTTGTTGGTCAATTTATTTTGTTCATTAGATTCTGCAAATAAGTGAGATCATGTGATACTTGTCTTTCTCTGATTCATTTATTGCACTTAGCATAACCCTCTCCAGATCCCTCCATGCTGTCTTGAAGGGTGAGAGATCCTTCTGTATTACAGCTGCATAGTGTTCTGTTGTGTATATGTACCATGGCTTTTTTATACACTCATCTGCTGATGGGCACTTGGGCTGTTTCCAAATCTTAGCTATTGTAAATAATGCTGTTATAAACATAAGGGTACATATATTCTTTCTGATTGGTGTTTTAGGATTCTTAGGATATATTCCTAGAAGTAGAATTACTGGGTCAAACAAACAGCAATTCCATTTTTAATTTTTCAAGGAAACTTCATATTGTTTCATAGTGGCTGCATTTCCACCAGCAGTGGGCTAGAGTCCCCTTTTCTCCAGACACTCACCAGCACTCGTTCATTGATTTATTGATGATAGCCATTCTGGCAGGTGTCAAGCGATACCTCATTGTCGTTTTCATTTGTATCTCTCTGATGATTAGTGATGCTGAGCATTTTTTCGTATGTCTACTGACCATTTGTATGTCCTCTTTGGAATTCACCAAGTATTTTGATAGAACCTTCAACTGATGTGTATTTTTAGTACTGGGTTCATGTGTAAGAAAAATATGTGTGGAGGGACTGAATGAATAATGGGAGAGGAAAATAAAACGGCAAACTGTGTTTCTAAGTGTTGGCTAGGTCATAATGGAATAGAAAGTATTGGGTGATTTACAGACTATGTGAGACTAAAAACAAACATAAGCAAAATACCAAATTGCTGGTATTTTGACACCTGTGAAGGTGTCAACCATGAAAGAAATTGGACTGACAAAGACAGTAGGAAGGGCCAGAGTTGGAGGTGGGGAGAGACAGAGACAGAGACAGAGACAGACACTGATGCAAAAAGGCAAGCTTTTGGGAGAATGCTCTATTTGAACCTAATAACCCAAAAAAGTCTTTTGGAAGTGTTTAAAGAACTTCCCTTCTTAGATCCAGACGAACAATGTAGCTTCTGAGTAAAGAGAAAAATCATGGTCTGTCTTTAAATTTTTAGTTTGATCTTGAAAATACACACTTTGATTTTTTTAAAAATGGCAGGAGGACTTTTCAACAAACGAAGTAGCTGATAAACATGATTGTAAAAACACTTAAGAGGGCTCTGGAAAGGAGAGGGTGAGCCTTTAATAATAATAGTCTCATCTCTTGGAGTCCAATCTGTTAATTACATATACTTTACACACAAAATACAACATAATTTATGTCATCACTCTGAAACCTACACTAAGGAATATTTCCAAATTTAGTTCAGATTCTTCTGTATTATCCATAGCTGAGCCCCTGATTCAAGCTAGCTTCTCATTTACTTCTTCTATAAATGCTTTAACCTTAAATCTACCTTATATTTTTAGTTTATGATGTTTCTGTCCTCTGAAATGTCACCTTCCTAGTCTCCTTCCTGGCTTCTGTCTACCCTTCACGGTTTGACTCGAATGTCTCTTTTTCATGGAAACCCTTCTTAAGCAGAATCACCCATACTCTGATTTGGGTTCCCATCACATTTTATACACATCTTTATGTTCCTTTTGTTCATCATTGCCATGTCTATCATTTATTGTGTGCCCATTATGTATCAGGCACTGTATTAGACATATTACATAAATTTGACATATTCCATAAATTTCTTCATTTAATACTTGTTATAGCCTTATGAGACAGGCATTATTATTCCAATTTACTGAGGAGGTTAAGAAATTACTTTATTTGGCCCTGGATGGTTTGGCTCAGCAATTAGAGTGTCAGCCTGTGGACCAAAGTATCATGGGATTGATTCTGGTCAAGGGCACGTACCCGGGTTGTAGTTCGGTCCTCCGCCCTGGTTGGGGTTGTGTGGGA